TGTATGTTTAAAAATTCCGTGAACACACGTGAAATCGCTGCTGTAGCATAAGATGTGAGAGTTTGAGAAGAGGAAAGATGAAACTGGTAGGGTGGGAGAAAGGACCATAAATAGGGGGATGCAGTGTCTAAGCTGAGCTGAAGAGGGTCTTGAACAACCTATACAGATGCTCAGAGACAACATCAAATGTGTCAGGGATGTACTAGAGCTCCTTTTGCAGACACATCCTGTATGTTGAAAGGAATTCTTTGGGATATGTTGCCTGGAGTGGAGGAGTGAGACCCTTAAGCACCGAGTAAGAAACCATCCTATCTAATAATAGACAAACATGGTAATTGACCATACCTTCGCTACGCCTCCCATTGGCTAATCAGCACGATATGCAAATTAACCGCCAACAAAGATGGCGGCGAATTTGCATACTGCAGGAAGGGCTGGACAGTGCGATCCGCCCGCCCCGCCGCCTGCTCGGCTGCCCGCCAGGCCTACCATCCACGTGTGCGACCTGGTGGGCGGTGGGGCGGGGCGATTGTGACCAGCCCAACCCGTCCCACCGCCCGCTGGGCCTGCCGTGTGCAGTGGGCAGCGGGGCGGGGCGCGCTGCAGAGGGCCTGCCATCTGCGACCCAGCGCGGGATCCGGGCCTGCCATCTGCCACCCGGGGAGCCGGCCTAAGCCAGCAAATGGTTATCTCCCGAGGGGTCCCAGACTGTGAGAGGGCACAGGTCCCACTGAGGGACACCCCCCTCCCCCCCCCGCCAGTGCACAAATTTTTGTGCACCGGGCCTCTAGTTTAGGAAGAAATTATAAAAATAAGGGCAGTCAGGAGAGAGAGGTAGCTTAGGGGAAGGTGTCCTGTTTGGCTCTAGATGTGTTGAGGTAACAGAAAGATATCCACTGGGAAGTATAGTTGGAAATGGACCAGCAGCATCAGGAGGGACAGACTTGGGAAGCTTCTACCTGGAAGAGATGGTGGCAAGATGTTGCTGTACATAAAACAAAAAAAGCTTCAAATCAAGAACAATAAAGCTCCGAACAAATACTCAAGATCAACCTTCCTTTAATGGGCCTTTCCTGGGAGGTTGCCAGTCGCCTCCTAAATGCCAGTCCCAAAGCAGCTTTTCAGACCTTGAGCTCTTGACTGTTACTAAGCATTTATATGGGTGACTGTTTATGTGGTTCCTCCTGCACTACAGAAGGGCCATTTGTCAGTATATTTTAGATGGTTATTCTCCATACCTAGTAAATCTGTTTTAAAAAATTTATCCTAAAAAAATGATCACAGAGACAGTAGAGGACTTTTAGATAGTGTTGTAATGAATATCTCATAATAGAGACATATTCTCTATTAAGAGATCAGTTAAATCCATTCAATGAAATGCTGTGAATACCATGTTTTAATAGAATACTTAAAGATGTCAAAATGCATGTTACAGCCCTAGCTTGTGTGGCTCAGTTGGTGAGGGGTCATCCTGTTGCACAAAGTGTTGCCAGTTCAATTCCTGGTCAGGGCACATGCCT